CCGATCAACCCGAATAGAACATCTGCTCACATGAAGCACCAAAGGAGCAGCGTTAGCACTTCCGGACTTCTGACACAACACTGTCGAGCATACACGACTTGGCGAATGCACTGAAGAGCACGTAATTAATCGATCCCTTCCTGTGCAGTACGAACAATACATCTTTTGCCATACTGAGGGGTGTTTAATACATAAACGCCTTCTCTTCTGTCACTAACCAACTGCTGTTTTAAGTGCAGTCACAGAGTGTGATATGTGGAGTGTGCAAGGCAGCAGGCAATGGGTGGTTGGTGGTGGTGCTAGGATTGAGGAAGGACAGGTCACACTTCATCATGACCTGTCATCACTTTATGATTAAGATTAACAATTTAATCCTTCAGAAAATACAGAATCACTGGTGATAGAAAAGCTATTATTTTTGGTGGCATTTGAAATAACCCTGCAGGAGAGGAAACAACAGGTGTAAAGTTGTAGAAACAGGAGACAGAGAGACAGCTCAGGAAGTTATTGAAAAGTTCTGTGAGATGTAGTAACATCTGAAATAAAGATTCTTGCTGATTCTGACCATAAAGAATGTGAGTGTATATCATAAAATGCCAATAATTATAGCGTATTCTTTTTCCCCTAGGACTGGTAAATAAATATAAAGAAGTTACATTTGGTTTTTCCTAAACAAATATTCAAAAAGCTTGTTTCATGATTAACTCTTAACACTCTAATGTGCTGTTACTAATATATCCAGTATTTGTTCACCGGAGTCTTACCTAGAAGGTCATTCTGGGGTATCCACTTATAGAGCCGAGTATTGAGACCTAAGGTATCCGGTTTTTTCCCATCAAATCTCCACAGAACCTGTTACAGTAAAGAAAATATCTTATTCCATGAGTGGAATTCAAAAGTTATAGAATGTTAGAACTGTAAAAGGATAGAAATGAGATCAAGGGATGTTAGTAAATCAGAACTACTCAAAGACTGATGTAAATAGAATACTCACATTTAATTTTCTCAACTTTTATAATTAGTTAGGCACATAAGGAAATCATGATTTTCCAAAATAATACCTTAGAAAAACTCAGATTATCAATGAAAAGTTCAAGTATTTAAAAAATTGTTACACTTTTTAGAAGAAACCTACGTGCGGCCAGCTATCACATGAGAAAGAAAAAAAAAACAAAAAACAAAACTTAACATCACAGATCATTAGAGAAATCCGAATCAAAACCATGATGAGACAGCATCTCACACCAGTCAGAATATCATGTTGTGGGTGAGGTTGTACAGAAAAGGCTTGCTCATACTCTGTTGGTTGGAATGTAAGTTAGTTCATCCATTGTGGAAGACAGTGGCGAGTCCTTCAAAACCTAGAGGGGAAAATACCATGAAACCCAGCAACCCCATTACTGGGTATGTAACGAAAGGACCGTAAATTGTTCTTTCATAATGACCCTTGCACAGGTATATTAATTGTAGTACTATTTACAAGAGCAAGGACATGGAATCACCCTAAATGCCCATTGATTATGGGCTGAATAAAGAAAATATGGTACATATACACTACTGAATATTATGCAGCCATAAAAAAAAGAACAAAATTATGTATTTTGTAGGGATATAGAAGGACCTGGAGACCATTATCCTTAGCAAACTAGCAATGGGATGGAAATAAAAATATGGCATATCCTCACTTATAAGTGGAAGGTGAAAGATGACAACATGTGGACATATAGACAGGAACAACATACACTGCTATGTATTGGAGGCTGGAGGGTGGGAGGGGAACGAGGATCAGGAAAAATAATTAACTGATATTAGCCTGAATATCTGGGTGACGAAATGATCAGTACAATAAACCCCCATGACACAAGTTTACCTATGTAAAAAAACTGTACACGTACCCTTGAACTTAAAATAAAAGCTAAAAATAAAAGTTAATTTAAGTTTTAAAAATAAAAATATTCTAAGAAATGTATAAAAATTTTAACTATTCATTATAATTCTAGTGTAAAAAACCAACAATTTCATAATGACCTGCGTGCTTCTTTTCTTTTATGTATTTTATATTAGTTTTCATCTTCCAAATTTAATTTGAATGTATTCATTTCTTTTTGAGTAATTTGACAAGTAGTTCACACGTACCTGCTTATGTGTAGGTTATAATGTTAGAGCCCGTTGTCCCTTGTTTGACAAAATAGCAAGAACATAAATAAGCTACTTATAAGAAAGAGATTAATGCTGCAAGGGTAGTATGTATAACTTCATTGGAATTATAAATTATCAAGCACTACTTCCAAAATAAATTTCAAGTGACCATTTTTTACACAAATTCAGAGGATTATCAGTATTTCTAACTTTGGATACTTTCTGGCATAGAAATGAGGAACCTGTTGGTATCATGAATAAAAATACAGCTGTTGAATAAACTCAAAATTGTATTTTGCTGAATTTGGTCAACCGATTATTACCACCAAGACAACGTGCTACAAAGCTTTGACAACAGTGATTAATATGTTCTGCTATAGCCAAGACATTTTATGTTTAAGTTACTAATTTTGAAACTGTGTGGGTACTTGGACAAGTTGTCTGTCAGCCTAGGCTGTTCTTTCTCTGAAGAGTACCCTGAACATTACTCAGATACACCTCTTCAAAAATGTACAGGAAGTACAAGAGGCTGGATTACAGGGCAAGCCTAAACTGCATGATGTATGTGAGACTTTTTGAAATACCTGCTATTGTTATTGTGCTAGTGAAGTTACCTATTAAAATGTAACTTTTTCTGATAACACCAGTAGTGTGTACAGTGTCCTCAGGAATTCTTAAACGAAAGGTTCAAATGACAGGGGGAGGATTTGGTGGTATCTCTTACCTGACCCCAATGTCATGGTAATACCAAAACTTCACCTACATTTCTTGAATAAATTTATTCCTGATTATGCTATTAATGCCAAATTTATTATCAATGAACAACACCCTCTGTATTATTTTAGCATTGTTCGTGTATATTTTTGATTTTGAACTAATATCTGAGATAATTAGTGCTTACTCAACAGCTAAATTTTTAGTCAGGATGTTTCTTTTTTAATTTTTCATATCCATAAAGTTTATTTTAAAAATGTATAAAAGTAACTATATGGAATATTTATTAATATACTTAAAAAGTTTGTTCCATAAGTTGAAGTAAAATACATTAGCAATATCTTCCAAACTCCATCTTTACAAAAATAAAACTTCTAGATCCTGAAATGTACTACAGTGGAGTCTATAGTTTACAATTTTTTTTTTTTTTTTTTTGAGATGGAGTCTCACCCTGTTGACCAGGCTGGAGTGCAATGGTGCAATCTTGGCTCACTGCAACCTCTGCCTCCTGGCTTCAGGTGATTCTCCTGCCCTAACCTCTCAAGTAGCTGCGATCACAAGTGCATGCCAACATGCCTGGGTCATTTTCTGTATCTTTAGAAGAGATGGGGTTACACCATGTTGGCCAAATTGGTCTGGAACTCCTGACCTCGTGATCCGCCCACCTTGGTCTCCCAAAGTGCTGGGATTACTGGCATGAGCTACTATGTCTGGCCTATAGTTTACACTTTTAATCACAGGATTGGAATTCATTTTCCTTACTCCCCTGCTCCCCACATGTGGCAGTTATTATTCCTAAATTAACGACATTCAATCGTGTTATACTACCACAGATCTTTAAATAAAGTATATGCCGCATAATTACTAACAGAGGCAATCTTCTCCACTTGTTGTCAAGTATTTTATATAAGTATCTGACTTAAAGTGCAAATAGAAATACTACATCCCATAATTGTAAACATTCACCAAGAGCTTCCAGAGTACGATAAGTAATAGAGATGGCCCAAGAATCAGTCAAGTGTTCTTCACTCATTGGATACTGCTGAGATTAGGAAAATTGTTCTGAAAAAAATGATCATAAGTCTTACCTGTATTTTTACAAGGAAACAGTTCTGGATACATTTTTTTTTAAGAAAAAAACCGAAAAGCAATCCAAAAAACAAAATAAACAACAATTTCAACTACCTGAAATATATTGAGTTAAATTCAGCAGTATGTATGAGTGTTAATATCAGAAATTAAAAAAAACTCTGGGTCTCAAGTTGCCTTTGGTGGATACATATGGAGTAGTGAGTTCCCACTGATGCTAATAGAAACCACTCATGCATACCAAGGGTAGGAACTCCCCCAGGGCCACATGCAACCTCTAAGTCTGAGGCACAACTATGACTTCTGTCGGTGGATGTTATACAAGCATATTTAAGGCTATATTCGGCTATAAAGAGTTCAATCTACTCTTTAATATTCTTTCCATGTAGATCACATACACAATTCAAAATTTTATGGGACAGGAGGTGAAAAGTCTCCAAACACTTTTTTAATACCTTTCTCCATACAATTTATTGTCCGCATATTTACATAGGGGAATGTTCATACTTAAAAACATTTTTTTTTTTAAATGCAACCACAATTTTCAAACTTATCACTGTTTCTCCAGGAATATCCTTGTTCTAATTTTTCAACTTTTGGTCAACTTCACAGTTGTCAGAAGTTTCTATAATTGGATTACTTACAAACTTTAGCAGCCACTTTCAGTAGTTTTCCACACCAGTAAGGCACTTCATCTTACCTTTTGTGGGATCTGGGCAAGGGCTGATGCAATTACGTTGGCCCTTTCTTCTTTCATGTTAGTGACCATTGACCCCAGAGAAAACACCACGACACCATTTTCTCCAGAGCTCTGTACAAACTCTTCCATTTCCTGTGAAAAAAGAATTTGTTTCATCACAAAAGAGTAACAGCACAGCAGGCATTACTGAAAGAATTGGGAGAAGTTACTAAAGAGAGAAAATCAGGTATTTTGAGTAATCATTGGAGTAAATAATATTTTCTAACTGACTCAATCCCTCAGGTTTTTTGCAATTAGATACATAATGTGAGATAGGTGGACGCTGTTAGGATATTTGTGTAACTATGTGTGTATGTGCATGTATTTGTGTGCATGTGTGTAAGGGAGAAAAGAAGTGAAGCTATTACATTGTAGTCAGGGAGATAATGTTGAAAATATTACACACAGACTCTTCTCTTATAATACTAAAATTACTAATATACGTTCTTGGAAAGTGGCACCACTCAGCTTTAATTCTGTATTGTTGTTCTACTAAATCACTTGTGTTGATTTCAGGCAGGTTTTCTGTAGGATTCTTTTAGTAGGAAGCCATTAGTGTTTAATTCCCTCACTATGAGCTCTGAGGATAAGCTGCTCACTGTTGGGATAACTTTATATCTACATTTATGTTTCTCTACAGTGCTTTATACTTCACTTAAAGTTTGTCAGAGTTTTCTGGTAGTTTTTGAAAAACTAAACAAAAATAAAAGCTGATGGTTAAGAACCACTGACATTCTGGAGTTTGGTATTGTAATTTGGAATTTCTGTGAATTAGTCCAGGAGTCTCATTTATAATACAGAATTGTACACTATACAGTTACATAGTTGAATGATCATATTTTCAGATTATTGTTTAGGTGGAGCACCTATTGACCTGAAATCACACTGTTAAACTGATGTGCTATTTATAACTGCATATGAGGAACTCTCATCATCACTTTGTTGTGTCTCAGAGGCAGCACTTGCATCAGAATAGAAGAGGCCACCAGACCTTTTTGCAGGGGAGATCTTGTCTCTCTTTTGAGTAGCTCACTCACACCACATTACACTCCTGGTGAAGATGTGCTTGGCTGCAATCGATTGCGAATTATTCTGACTTGCATTCTCCAATGTATGCCAATATTTAAACTTAAATACTTTCAGATTTAATCATTGTGGTAAAACTTTTCCTTATGGTCCTTAACAAAACAAAGAAAAAATATCCAAATGTTAACTGTGCAGACCACATATTACAGAGCATTTTTAAAATATGATTTTTAATCTTAACATAAGAGTCATTGTACTGCTATTCCAGGTAACACTTGCGGCATGTAGGTATTGTGCGTGACTGCCGTTGACTGTAGCCATATTTACTCTAACTGGTGTTCAGTGTTTCACCTCACTAGTTCGATGCTGAGAGCCCTGTTTATCCATGCAGTGTTGAAGGAACCTAACCTCTGTTTACAGATTCATCACGGATATGGACCGGTTGTTTCTTCTTCTGTGATAACATCATAAAAATAATATAAGATTAATGCAGAAATTTTATAAAAGCATGAAAAAATTTTTAAAATACCATTTTCCTAAAATTTTTATGTTGTGATATTAGTTATGTAAAATATGTTTTTTCATCATGGCTTTTGTCCTATTATATAGCTCAATGTACGCATGCAGCACTTATTTAGAAAATGTTAATCTTATTGTGTATGCATTTTCCTCCTGCAAAAACTTGTCATCTTGTTACGTTTATCATTTTCTAACTCCCTATGTTTGTATTACAGCTGACAGTGTAATTGAATATTTCATTGATAAAATTATTGTAATGCTATTGTATGCATAGTATAAGTTTTTAATCATTCCTTCATTTAAGATGTTGGACTACTTCCAGTGCTAATTTCATGCATATTTTCCATAATGTCGAATAGGTGTACCTTAATTAATTTTTTTCTCTGTATGATTTCACATGAATATAGTATAAAACTTACAGCAATATTCATTTTTAAACACCTGATGCATTTTGTCGTGTCTTATCCTTTTATATAGAAATTGTCTGAGAATCTAATATTTAATTGAAATGAAAGCAACCTGGGTTAGCAATTATTTTACATAATAAACAAAGAACTGGTTTCACAACCACTGACTTGCATTCAAATCTTTCTGCAAGTTAGTAACACCAGCTAATAGTAGTAATTATCACTATTGTACTACTAGTCCTCCTTTTTCTTGTCCTTCTACAAGTCCTACTCTCTTCCCCTTCCTACTGACACTATCGGTTTCCCTTAGTGTGAGTGGGGACATCCTTCAAGAGTAGGGCAGGGTGGCATAGATTTTTCATTAGTCTTACCTCAGCTTTTGTCTCTTGAGAAAGTTATCATATAAAGCCCATGCAATTTGCATTCAATATAGATATTGAGTTTTAACAATGGAATAAAATCTCAGTTTTATGTGGACAAAAATTATCTTTTAAGAGATGACTTAATAATGTAATAAAGAATGCTTGCTTTGTACACAGGTTTTAAAAGTGTGATATTAATTTAAAATATATGAGTTTATTGTGTTCTTTCATAAAGAATATAATCTTATATGCCGACAGAATTTTTTTGGTATTGAAACTAAGAACACTATTCAGATACAATTGGTATAAATTATTTGGTCTTTACTATACAGGCATTATTCATTCGTGATTCTCTGTCAGGCAGCTAGTGATGTTAAACAAGTGACACAGGGAGCTTAATCGAGTTTACTTGTCATATACAGAAAATCATGCTGCTTTCATTGGGTATGTTTATGCTGTAGAATGTAAACCCCTGGAGTCTCAATGAAGAATGGATAATCTTTAAGTAAGATCAAAAGTGAATTACTGAGTTTTGTCTGCAAATATTACAGAAACACATTATTTTGTGAGGAAGTGTTTTAAGCCGTGAATACTGGTGAAGATCCTCATTACTATGAGAAATTTTAGGATTTTAGACTAAGCTCATTGCTGGTGGAAGTCAGGGACCCAGAGGAGAGACCACTGAAAGCTTTGGCAGAAGCAAATCATAAAATTGTAAGATTTTCACGGACATTTTTTAGTTCCCCAAATTAATACTTTTATAATTTCTTACACCTGTCTTTACTGTAATCTCTGAACATAAACTGTGAAGATTTCATGGACACTTATCACTTCTCCAATGAATATCCTTGTGATTTCCTATGCCTGTCTTTACTTTCATCTCTTAATCCCATCATCTTCTTCATAAGATGAGGAGGATGAATGTCGCCTCAGGACCCTGTGATTGTGTCAACTGCACAAATTGTTTGTAGAGCCTGTGTGTTTGAACAGTATGAAATCTGGGCATCTTTAAAAAAGAACAGGATAACAGCAATGTTCAGGGAACAAGAGAGGTAACTTTGAACTGGCCACTAGTGAGCCTGACGGAATAAAGCTATATTTCTCCTCTTTCATAAGCAAATAGGAGAATTATCGCTGAATTCTTTTTCTGAGCAAGGAACATCCCTGAGAAAAGAATGCGCCCTGAAGGTAGGCCTATAGACAGCCCCTTTTTAAGGCATTCCGTCTTTTATGGTCGAAGCCTAAGGGATGAAATAAGCCCCGGTCTCCTATAGTGCTCCCAGGCTTATTAGGTGGAGGAAAATTCTCACCTAATAAACTGTGGTCAGACAGATTATCTGCTCTCAAACCCTGTTTTCTGATAAGATGTTATCAATGATAATGGGTGCCCGAAACTTCATTAGCAATTTTAATTTCACCTCATTCATGGTCCTGTGATTTCACCGTGCCTCCATTTGCTTTGTGATATTTTATTACCTTGTGAAGTATGTGATCTCTGTGACCCACATCCTATTCATGCACTCCCTCCCCTTTTGAAAATTACTAATGAAAACTTGCTGGTTTTAGGGCTGGGGAACATCAGGGATCCTGACGGCATGTGATGTCTCCCCTGGAAACCCAGCTTTAAATTTCTCTCTCTTGTACTCTTTCTCTTTATTTCTCAACCCAGCCTAGACACTTAGGAAATAGAAAAGAACCAATGTTAAACATCAGGAACGGGTTCTCCCGATAGCTCATCTTACTGTCAAAACTGGTAAGTCTACTTTTAGTCAAGTCCACATGGTGTCTGTCAACTATGACTTTGCAAGATAATGTAATTCCGATGTACTGAAAAATCTGGCACTATTAAATGAAGAATGATATCTCAAGTGACCTGCACATGCTAAGTAATCAGTAGTATTAGTAATAATAGCAGAATAATAATAATTGCAAAACAAACAATATCTCTGAATAACTGGCTACAAGCCAGAGACACTTCAAGTGTTTTTCTGTGTTAATATTTTTTCACACAACACAATATAAAGTTGTCACTATTTTTGTAAATGTAGGTATCATTATTCCTATCAACATACTCGTCCACTTTTCCATCATCTGTTACCTGAATCCATGCAAAATTTCCTGAATGGCTGGCTCTTTATTCTGACCCTCCTGCAATTTAATCATTGAATATCTTGAAAGCTCTTCTTAAAGAAGAGAATCTTTTCATATAGCTTTCTTTCTTAACTCTTTTTCACAGTTTTTCAATGTGCTTAAAAAATATTTCAACTCCTAATATGTATCTGGCTCTAATTTGCCTCTCAGCATCATCTGATTCTTAGTCTCTCCCTGCAAACAAAACCTGAGGACTTGAGAACTATCCTGATGACTTTACCTGCTTTCCTTCTTTTGTCTATCTCTCCCCATCATTCTTTTACTTATTCCTACATATTGTTCAGCTCTCATCTTAGTAATCAGTGACTCCAGGATACTTTCTATTATCTCCACTGATGCTTTCTTGTCATTGGGTTTTTCCTTGAGATAATGGTTTTTATATAATTTTTATTACTTGCACATATTCTATCTTTTCAAGTAGAATGTAAGGTATGTGGGGACAGAAACTGTGTCCATTATTTTCACAGAAAATTGTGCACTTACCTGTGTTTTGTGCTAATCTCTTTGTAAATATTATTTGAATGCATGATCAATACCTTCTTAGGTGTTAAATAATGAAGACTTTAATTCAACCAACTCTATTTTTGAAGTCTTCTTAGTATTCCCCTCTATTAGTAGTACTCATAAAACTCACATACGTGTGATGGTATCACTATGTACATGAGCTCTAATTGGTATTTGCTTTACCCCACCCACTTCCCATCTTTCTTTCAGTGTAAGTCAAACACTCTGAATGAAGACTGTAGAATCATTTCTACTGAAACTTCAAAGCCAACAAAATAAAACCAATGACAGTATGTTTACCTTAGGTAGGGGTTTGGCAGGTTTGCAGTGCAGTCCTCCAACAAAATCAACATTTGGTAAGAGTGGATGTGGAAACTGAAAATTCCAGGAGTTTCGAATAAGCCATATGTCAGCTTTCCCCATTGTCTCAGATAATGTAGTGGGTCTTCCTGACAAGAATAAAAAAAAAGAAAAGGTGGATGACACAAGATAATTACATTAGGTAATTTTCTGAAAGGGTTTAGAATAATGTAGGCAAAAATATAGGCAAAGTGTCTGTGCTTTGAAAAATATATACATATGCTCATTTATAGACATAATTTAATTTTATGTATTTTTTATTTTGCCCATGAATATTTATAAGGAAGTAGTAGGAGAATTGTGAGGTTAAGCTACATCTCTAATGTCACATCAGTATACTCACAATCATAAATAATTATTAAAATAAGCCACAGAGAATTAAACACCAATTTCTTTTCTTTTTAAAGCTTCAATAGTAGCCTATGGACATTTAAACAACTCTTTGAGCTCCATATTCAATTAATTCTACTGTACCCATAAAAATAATTTTCTAAGAAATAGTCTAGTTTACACAACTCATTAAGCCAATCCTTTTATCTTTGGTTCTTCAAGTGAACTGTGGACTATGTGGAGAGTATGGATGAAAACTTTGTACTCTTTTAGATGCAAGCTAAGATCTTAATAATATTATCTTTAAGTAAACACATTTGTAAATTATAGCTAGAAATTTTTGAGAAATTATTGTAATAAAGATTTGTACTCAACCTTAATCTGTCTTACATCTTTTAACAAAGAGACATAGTTTGAAAAACAACTATGTAGACATAACAACCTTCACATTCCAATAAGATGACTGGTCTCTAAATGAATGGTTTCCAATTCTTTAATGAAAGAATATAGAAACATTAGAAACTTCAAATTATCTTTAATGATTTTTGCATCAGAGATATAGACATTCTCTCTCTCTACTGTGAAGGAAAACTTCTGGTAACATGGGAATATCTTCTGATTTCTAAATAAGAAAACTAAGCTTTACAGAAAAAATAATTTTGGCAGTTATATAGATAGTTGTAGAAAAATGTGTAACTACTCATTCTAAATCTATGCATTCAGTAAGATGTTATTTGATGGGTTTTACAGATTTTAAGATGTAAAACAATGTATACTAAAACAGATGAGTAATTACTTAAAGTCTTAGAGGCACTAATACATAGGTTTATGATGTCCTGCGGTTTTCTGTGTGAATCATGGCCACACAGTTTTAACTGACCCTGTAATTTAAGCTTTTCTATAATACTTGTGAGATTGATAGATCATCCTCTATTTTCATTTTATAAATTCACTTACCAAAACCCCACTACCCTGACTTTATGACTTTATATAAGCTCTGCTTCAAAGACACAAATAAGTTACAGATTGAAAAAAATACTTACCTAGAACTTCACTATAAAACTGATCCCACTTCTTCATGTCATACATTTGGAAATAAAAGTCAAAAGAAAGCATATAGATCATATTTTTTATCCTCTCCATGAAAGTCATTTGATCACTTAATTCTGACATAACAACAGGTACGTAAGAGGGAGGGAAAACAAATCCTCCACAATGCTTTTCAAAATTGTAGCCAGGAGTGAAGCGGAGACTGTACACAAGGGGTATGTTAAATAGCTCAGCCAGCAGCTCACTACAAGGAAAAATAGCATCTCCAAAAACGACGTCAAATCTTGACTCTTGTAATTTCTTCATTAATTTCTTATTTGAAACCACATCTTTACAGAAGTTTCTAATTATGTCACCAAACCTCCACATGATTTCTTGCATTTGTGAAAAATATAACCAAAATGTATCTTTTGGAAGTTCTAACCATCTCTTAATCTCTTGCATGGCGATATTCTCGAACTCAGTTTTAGTTAAAGATGTAGGAAAGACTTCAATTTTAAGAGCGGATGAGTTGTTGGGATCAAAAAGAATGGAAGCTGAAGATGCCAGGACAGTCACCTCATGACCTCTCTGGACAAGCTCTTCCAGAATTGTCTTCATATTCATCCAATGGCTATATTCTGCCGCCCACACCAGCACCTTTCCACAACTCCCAGAGCTAAAGTAAAAGCTCAGTTGTATTAGCAGAATTACTGAAGTCCATTTCACAGACATCCTGGTGCAATGCAATGCTTGTTTTCCAGTTGCTGATCCTTTCTGTCATTTCTCATGGTTATATCCAAAGATAAATTAGCCAAGAAGTTAAAATGTAACCCTTATACTTCAAAGTACATACAATATCATTAAATCAACATTCCGAGCATGTGGATGGCAAGGAGACAAATGAAGGTAAATGACCTGTTTACACAGATGTGATTAATTTCTCGTTTATGTTTATGAGTGCTATCCTTCAGCTAATATCAAGGATCTTGTATGGACATGCCATCCGTCTTATGCAATATATTTTAGAAGAGTGTTCAGATTTGTAACAGTGAAAGGTCATGTTTCTGCAGTCCATTGGACACAGAACTAAAGATAAAATGATGAAACATGGTCCATATATTTTTGTACCCTTTGTTGACGTATAATTTAAATATTATACAATTTATCAATTATTGTGTAAAATTTAATGTTTCATAGTATATTCACAGAATTGTGCATCTACCAGAACAATCTATTTGAGAGCCCTTTTATCTCCCCAAAATAAGTCCTGTGGCCTTTAGCCTTTTCCTCTTCACCTCTAGTTTCTGCATTTCCCCTGTGCTGGGTAATTGCTAATTAAATTTCTATCTCTATAGATTTACCTATTCTAGATAATTTTTAATATATGCAATCATACAATAGGTGGTATTTCGTGACTGGCTTCTGTTATGTAACATAATATTTTAAATGTTCATTTATGATATAGCATATACAAGTTGATTCTTACAACCATCATGTAAGATATTGAGAGTGTGAAGATGACAGTATCTTTATAAACTTTGTGAAAGTAATCAAAGATAAAGAGAGAAAAGGAGAAAAGTAAATCAAGCTTGTAGTACATTCAGCATTAATCATTATGTTAGCTTGTTCTCTGACTCACTTCCTCATAGTTAGTTGGCTATTGTCCTAGAATTATGCAGACCTTGTTACGAGATTGTAGTTCCTCTTAACTCTTCTATAGATAATAACTTAAACATTACGAAATGATTAACTTTCCTTCTGAGATATTCCTTCAGGTCCAGCATACTGATAAAACTACTGACTCAGCAGGTCTGAAGGACCTCACTGATACCAGCTGATCTGAGGAACTTCACTGATGCCAGCTGATCTAGAGGACCCCACAAGGAACTGACTCAGCAAATAATGTTGTTTCTTGCTCTGATAACTTTGTCTCTATTACCATGACCAATCAATTACCCAAATTTTGCAGTCCATCACCATCTATGATCTCCTTAAAACCTCCAGCCCAGAGCTCCTTGAGGAGCTGGATTTGAGGTTCTCTTCTCATCTCCTTGCTCAGTGCCCTGCAAATATTAAACTCCTTCTTTGCTGCCAAACCTGATGTCTCAGTGTAATCAGACTATTATTGGACAGTAAGCATATGAACCTGTTGGTCCTATAACAAAACTTCCATGGAAAAAGTAACTGCAAATATAGTAAAACTAGAAAGATAACTATAATTAGAAGTGGAACTTAATGATGTAACAGAATTCATGAAATCTCATGATAAAACAAATAAGTGAGGAGTTACTTCTTAGGGAAGAGCAAAAAAACTTGTTTCTTGAGATGGAATCTACTCCTGGTGAAGATGTTATGAACATTGTTGAATGGCAACAGGAGATTTAGAATATTACTTAAACTTACTTTATAAAGCAGCATTAGAGTTTGAGAGGATTAATTCCAGTTCTGAAAGAAGATCCTCTATGGGTATCTAACAACATTGCATGCTGAAAAAAATCTTTTGTGAAAGAATGGGTTAATGTATATGGCAAATGCCATTGTTGTCTTATTTTTAAGAAATTGCCACAGCCATGCCAACTCCTAGCAGCCACCACCATAATAAGTTATCAACCATCAACATTGATGCGAAAGTCTCCATCAACAAAAGTTGCACTCACTGAAGATTCAGATGATCATTAGCACTCTTTACCAATTAAGTGTTTTTAATTAAGGTATGTACTTTGTAGACTTAATATCATCACAGACTGAATACACTACAGCATTGTGTAAGCATAACATTTTCTATGCCTTATAAACCAAAGCAAATTGTGTGACTCACTTCATTGCAATATTTGCTTTATTGTAGTATTCTAGAACTAAATCTGCAACATCTCAGAAGTATGCTTTGTATTAGTGAAAACACCTAATATGAGATAAACTCTAAAATATATACTGCAGTTGAAGGGGCTCTATTTACTCACCCCTTCTGTTCCTCTTTGTGAGAGCCATGCACATTACCTACTTTCAGTCAGTCATCTTGGCCACATACATTGACTCACTGTATCACAAAAGATTTTTTTAAAGTTTCTAATTCACACAAAACACAAACATACATAACAAACACACACTTTCTGTCACTCCCCACAAAGCCCAAATTTACAAGGTGGTTTTGGAAAACAAATATTTTACATCACTTTACCTATGTGAACCCTCACTAATTAGCTGATAATAGATTGAATAGCTATAATATAAAGACTATTTTGATATGAATCACATGAACAATACAGGATGTTTAGAGTTCCAGACAAAAAACACAAGTACTTCTATATGAAATAATTAGAAAAACTTAATGAGGCAGGTAACATATGATATAAGATGAAAACTTTGATTGGACCTAGGCAGTATGTGGCCAAGAAGGGATTTTCCAATAAAGAACAGAAAGAGTAAAGGTCGTGGACATATGGAGAGCATCCCCATGTGTATGGATCACAGAGAAAGTTGAGGGCAGGAGATTACAAAAGACAGTTAATTTGGAATGAAGACGTTAGGCAGTCTTACTTGTCGTACTATGGATTTGGATTTTAATACACCACCAAAATTTACTTACACAACTTTTAAAGAATGACAGTTATGAAATCAAGATTTTCCTTTATCAAGCAAATGTGTCAACTAATATTGGTGTGCAAAGTCAAGACCTTAAAATTAGAAAGGATTATTAAAAGTGTGCATTTGTAACCAAAACAGGAGATCATAATGGCCTGATATGGTTTGGCTGTGTCCCCACCAACATCTCATCTTGAAGTGTAACTACCACAATTCCCACATGATGTAGGAGGGACTTGATGGAGGTAACTGAATCATGGGGATGAGTCTTTTCCATGCTATTCTCTTCATAGAAAATCTTTGCTTTAGATTTTGCTATTTGTTTTGGGATAGTTAGTTTTCTTTACTTTCTGCTTTTCTTCATGCCTCCTTCGCTCCTTGATTTTATATATTAATTTATTTTTAATTAAAAAAGAAAAAGACACAAGTTACTTCGAATTTATGTTCAATGTTGAATTTTGTTCATCTTTATGCCTTTTGTCACATACTTTTCTTTTTAATGGGAAACCTATATGAAAATATTGCATTTGATAACATAGGAATACACAGATGTTCCAATTTCATAAGCAAAACGAATTTCACAATCCTAATTAGCATACTTGCTTTTATTGAGTTTTATGAAATTTAATTTACCATTAAATTTTTAAAAACTCCGTGGATAGTGTATAAATAGTAGTACCTAAAGAGCTATTTAAATGGTTAAAAGGCAAATACAAAGAAAGAATAGTGATAGCAATATAAGGAAAGGTTTTTACCATATTAAACAATGTCACAATTCAAGTTTCATCAAATTTTTCAAAATAAAATAAAATAAATCAACTCATGAGTAAGAAGAAAATAAGTCTATCATGCCCAAGTACAGTGGATGGAGTTCTTACACAATCAAATATACTGAGGAGATTATTGGGCATAATTCTTCTCTATCTTTGTTATATCAGCCCTCCCTTTATATGTTCCTTGGGGTTAGTACACTTCAGCGTTGTTTTTGTTTTTTTTTTTTTGTTTTTTGATTTGTTTGTTTTTGAGTAGTCAGCACAGACCTTAAGATTTAAAACCTTGGGCGGGAGCCGTGACTCAGGCCTGTAATCCCAGCACTTTGGAAGCTTGAGGCGGATGGATCACGAGGTCAGTAGAGTGAGACCATCCAGGCTAACATGGTGAAACCGCCTCTCTACTAAAAATACAGAAAATTAGCGGGTCGTGGTGGTGGGCGCCTGTAGTGTCGGCTACTAGGCTACTAAAAATACAAAACATTAGCTGGGTGTAGTAGCCCCAGCTCCTCGGGAGGCAGAGGCAGGAGAATGGCGTGAACCAGCAAGTGTGGAGTTTGCAGTGAGCCGAGATCATGCCACTGCACTCCAGACTAGGTGACAGAGCCAGACTCCGTCTTAAAAAAAAAAAAAAAACAAAGTCAGATGAGGACTACTTTACAGGGAACAGATCCTCTCTGATGTGTTCCAAAAAAAAAAAAAAAAAAAAAGAGAAAAAAAAAAAAAAAAAAAAAAAAAAAAAAAGATTTAAAATAACAAAATGTGAGATAGGAACTTAATATTTTCTTTTCATTTTGTCACAAACAAATGACAACAAAGAGAAGTATTTCCAAAGTAATTTCAAGAATTCATAGGGAAATGATTAGTTGAGCCCACATATACTACTGTAATGCTTTAAAATATTTTATGTAGAAGTAGTGCCTGTTAATGCAAAGCAGAAAATGAGATTCAAATTCCAAATGGAAAGTCACACTTTCTTCCCTGTGTAAATGGCTGCTTATAAGGACTGGAGGTTGTACTCACCTTCTGTGGAATCTGGGCCAAGTCTGAAACGATGAGATCAGCCTTCCCTTCCGTAAGATTTTGCACAACTGGCCCCAGAGAAAACACCACGGTGCCATCTTTGGCAGAGATCTGGACAAATTCTTTCATTTCCTCCAACGAAAATAATCTGTGCATCATAAAGAATAATCTGCATCATGCAGAATAATATAGTTTACCTATGCTTTAATAAAAATCTGAAGAAGTTTCCGTATGTATAATTATACTGTCCCTATATTCTGCCATATACTTCTAGTCTCTACAAGAAAGTTTGTGTTAGAAACACATGGCTTCAATACATAGTAATTATTTACTAGAAACAGTACACAACCAAATAATTATACCGGACACTTAGGTAATACATATATAGCTTTTTAAATATTTGGTAGATACTCTAAATTCTAAAATCATAATGGTTTGAAAACTCATAAAAATATTCCTTGAAGAGTGATGTCAGTAAAATGATGAAATAACGCCCCCCAAATTAATTCCCACACAAAGAGACAACTAGTAACTATGGAAATAAAAAAGCCATTCTGAATTCACCAGAGCTAAAAAGAGAAGAAGAAAATCCCAAGACTCATAGACATGGGAAAACTCATGATCTGTAAGAAGAATAAGTGTTTTGGATAATGACACCCTTTCTACACACCAAGAAGACACAACACTGTGAGAGAACTTTACCTGCAGTTACCAAGATCAGAGGAGGAAATTTGAGGGGAAT